GGGGGGGGGGGGGGGGGGGGGGGGGGGGGGGGGGGGGGGGGGGGGGGGGGGGGGGGGGGGGGGGGGGGGGGGGGGGAGGAGTGTGTACGGATTTTTGGGACACCACCCTGTATTGCCAGGTGTGTCTGGTATTTGGTACGATTTCTTAAAAAAAAAAAAAGAGCGGTGTCCTTCGGTGTTCATGGATGGGAACGCATAAATGATAAGAATAAAAAGTTCTCACTTCTGGTTTTGTTGTTTTTGTCGTTTCTTATCAGAGACCCTTGCCCGTTGCAAATTCATCGGTGAAAATACTTTTCTCCTTTCTCTGTTACAGTACATTTTGGGGAGCAGCTCACTGTCAACTTTGGAGCTACCTTTTGTCAACCTTGTTTTTCACCTGACCAACGACAAGAAATCTGCTAGATCTGTAGCTTCTGATATGAAGTCAGTGTCTCTCGAATTGGACCAGCAAGAACTGAAGTTTTTAATTCTAAAATTGGATAACGCTAACCATGCTGTAAAAACCTCGTGATCTGTTGAAACTAATGAGACTTCCGATTCTTGGTAAATCTTATTGAAACAATAATCCTCTCGCATTATCGTGCATGTGAGTTTCTGATATATTAAGGCGCACAAGTCGATTTTTTTTTGCAAGCTTACTCCCATGTAACTTATACACAAGCTCCTACACACAGCTACTTTTCATTTCATATCTCTGCTCCTAATTTAACCCGATCATTGTAATTATCTTGTATTGGGAAAATCATGACAGATAAAATCTCGATGGAGGAATCCAAGAAAATGAAGGTCTTTGAAGAAAAGGATTCGGAAGACTTCTTAGAAGAGGAACCAAAACACATAGATCTGGGTGCGAGAAAAGACTTGAAAGACTTTTCATTGGAGGAATTAAAAGAGATGGGCGCCGACATGAGAAAGGACTTGGGAGTTTTGCAGCAAGCTAACAACAGGCGCCGAGATGTTATGAATGCATTACATGAATATAATGAGATTAAAGATGTTACACAAGCTGTGTTAGGTTGCTTAGCAAACATAGAGGGCGTGACTGTTAAAGAAATGCATAGAAGTTTTGATTTAGATGGTAATGATCTTTAATTTTTGTACAATCGCCAATAATTTTGCCGCTTGTCGAAAATCCTTTTGTTTGTTGATCACATAGGCATAAATTTTCTCTATTAAAGTTATTTGGGTTTTCCACGCAATGGAAAGTTTAGTCAATGACCAAACCTCCAACTTGGAGGACCAAAGTTTGATTACAGAGCCCATTATCACGTTACTTTGTCGTTATTATTTCCACGTTGCTTTCGCCATGGCTAAGAGCCCTGGCCGCCTTCCCTGTTCGTCAACAGGTAGAACTCCCCGACCTTTTAATTCGAAGAGGCAGTCTTCTATCCACCAACCTGAGGACGCATTCATTCCTCAAAGACACTATTATTATTCTCAGTATAGGGTGTTTCAGACCACCCGTACCAGGCCTTTTTCTCGGTTGTTTTAGGTCGTACGAAGTCGAGGACCGCGGGGTTGAATAGGGAATCGACCCCAAGGAATCCGAATTTCGTGGTCCCGAAACCCCCCCACCTTCCCCTTGGGGGGTAAAGGGGGGGTCACGATGCTAAAAGTCACGGTTCCCGACCGAATAGCGGATAAATCGCATCAGAATTGAAAAGCACGGAAAATTTTACGTGAAATTGACCCCTAAAAATCCAAAATCGGCAAATCTAAGGCCCAAAAATGATCCCCTGAAGAGGGGGGCAGTACCCCCCTCCACAATTTCTCTTTGGTCTCAAAATTGACGTAGATTCTCCAGAAAAAGTCGGTTTCCCAGGTAATTGACCCCCAGAAATCCACATTTCATGGTCCCGAAGCTCCTCTAGCCCCCCTTGGAGGGTAAACGGGGGGCCCAATTTTAAAAATCGGGGCTCCTTTCCGAATCGCAAATTTATTGCATCCAAATTGAGGAGCAGAACACATTTACATCTTAAGTGACCCCCAAGAGTTCTAATTGACCCCCCTGAACAGCAGAAAGTAACCTTCTGAGGAGGGGGGCTTCGCCCCCACCAAAAATTTCTCAAGATTCCTCTTTGGTCGCAAAATTGACGTCGATTCTCCAGAAAAAGACGGTTTCCCAGGTAATCGACCCCGAGGAGCTCAGGGACTATAAAATTCAGAGTCCTCGGGGTCGATTACCTGGGAAACCATCTTTTTCTGGAGAATCGACGTCAATTTTGCGACCAAAGAGGAATCTTGAGAAATTTTTGGAGGGGGCGAAGCCCTCCTCCTCAGAGGGTTACTTTCTGCTGTTCAGGGGGGTCAATTAGAACTCTTGGGGGTCACTTAAGATGTAAATGTGTTCTGCTCCTCAATTTGGATGCAATAAATTTGCGATTCGGAAAGGAGCCCCGATTTTTAAAATTGGGCCCCCCGTTTACCCTCCAAGGGGGGATGGAGGAGCTTCGGGACCATGAAATTTGGATTTTTCGGGGTCAATTTCGTGGGAAAAAATCTTTTTCTGGAGAATCTACGTCAATATTGAGACCAAAGAGAAATTATGGAGGGGGGTACTGCCCCCCTCTTCAGGGGATCATTTTTGGGCCTTAGATGTGCCGATTTTGGATTTTTAGGGGTCAATTTCACGTGAAATTTTCCGTGCTTTTCAATTCTGATGCGATTTATCCGCTGTTCGGTCGGGAACCGTGACTTTTAGCATCGTGACCCCCCTTTACCCCCCAAGGGAAAGGTGGGGGGGTTTTGGGACCACGAAATTCGGATTCCTTGGGGTCGATTCCTTTTTCAACCCCGCGGTCCGCGACTTCGTACGACCTAATACAACCGAGGAAAAGGCCTGGTACTTGTGGTCTGAAACACCCTGTATAAGTAATGAAATATGAGGAAGGAGTAATCATATTGAAAAAAGTAATTGGCCAAGTTGCCTTAAACTGAATAAAAATTACTGTATGATTTTTTACTCAATGCAGTGCAATCGTGTAGATATATTGAATATCCTTCCAAATATCCAGACTCGTGTAAGAACTATGAAACTGGAAGTGTCTGGCCCTGCCATGAAAGGAACTAAGCAAGTTGTTCAAAAAGTAATTGCTGAAAGTTCCCTGTATTTTCTTAAAATAAAGGTTCTTTTTTTTCAATTATGTATTCGTTATTTTGATTTCTTTGGCTGAGGGGGTTTCCCTCTTTCCCTTTCTTAAAAGACCGATAATTCAGTTTCTTCCTTAGTCTTTTTTTTATTTTTATTCTTTCAAAAAAATTACCAAATATTTGTTTCAAAGAATTATTGAAAACTCAACAGTAATCGTTATTTGATCAATATCGATCGCTCTCCCCTCTTACATTAGCCCGGTAGCTTGGCCAAAAAAGTTCTCTGCAAAAACTGTGGATGTGAGTTTTTTTCAAAATCACTATAAGTCGCTGACATTTGCTTCAAATGGAGATGTTGCATGTGTAAGGGATTTGCGATTTGACCGTTGATTCTTATGTAAAAGTTTGCAAGAAACACGATGGTGCCACTGGTTTTCTCTGAAATCAACTCCCATGCTCAAACAAAAGCTCTCAAGTTGAGGCCAAAATGGAGGGATATCCCACCCTACCCTACGAGTCCATCTCTACATCAAGACAAACTCTCCATGCAAAGATAGGGAGTGAATACATTGACAGGGCTGCCACTTTATTTGGGGACTCCAAAACTGAAAACACGGCAACCCTGCTAATGTATTTGCTCCCAATTTTTGCACGGAGAGTTTGTCTTGATGTAGAGGTGGACTCTTAGGGTAGGGTGGGATATCCCCTCCATTTTGGCTTCACTTTGAGAGCTTTTGAGCTTGGGAGTTGATTTCAGAGAAAACCAGTGGCACCATCGTGTTTCTCGCGAACTTTTACATAAGAATCAATAGTCAAATCGCAAATCCCTCACACGTGCAACATCTCCATACAAAGTTATGAAGCTCATTTTTTAGAGGAGGTTTCTTTCTACAATTAATTCCTTGACCGAACCCTTTTTGCTGTATAGACATCCAAATTCACAGCTTTTAAAACTTCGAATGCTATTTTTTCAAACCTTATAAACGCCACACCGCTGTTTTTACATGTAAGGCTTCATATATGCACGGAAAAAATTAAATTGCTGATTTAACAATTCAATTGCCTGAAAAATGACTGCAATGCTTGAAACAAAATGACTGCAATGCTTCAATGTAGATTTTACAACAAAAAAATGCTACTCTAACCACCATTGTAAGCTAATTTAACCACGGGGGTGGTTCGAGTAGCATTTTTTTGTTGTAAAATCTACATTTTAACGTTGCAGTCACTTTTCTTTGCAATTGAATTGTTAAATCAGTGATTTAATTTTTTCCGTGTGTCCTATGTATCAACCCAGTTGATACTTACCCTGCTTTTTCTATACAGGGTGTAACAACTAAGTGGCGACAAACTTTCAGGGGTTGTTCTACGGCTCAAAACAAACAGAAACGTCTTTTACCGAAATCCTCTAAGATGCATGGTTCTCGAGTGATGGGGAGTTGAATTTTTGGAAAAAAAAAGAAATACCGTACATGTTCGGTTATGACGTCACAGTGGCCATCTCAACTGTCGGAACCCAAAAACAATCGGGGTTTTGTGTAGTACTCATCAAGCGCTTAAAGAAAAGATCTTTCGTTTTTTTTGTAAAATCCCTCAAAATGGAGTTATTGACCGCTACTAAAATACTGTATTTCAGTACGTCGCAAATAAAGAAGGTCAGGACGTACGGTAAAACCGTACTTTTTTTAGCCGTCAATAACTCCATTAGGAGGGATTTTACAACAAAATAAACGAAAGATTCTTTTTAAGCTCATGATGAGTACTTTACGAAACCATAATTGTTTTTGGGCTCCGACGATTAGAATAGCCACTGTGACGTCTTAACCGAAAACGTACGATTTTTTTTTTTTTTTTTTTTCAAAAATTGAACTCCCCGTAACTCGAGAACCACGTATCTTAGAGGATTTTGGTAAAATACTTTTCTGTCTGTCTTAAGCCATAGAACAACCCCTGAAAGTTTGTCGCCACTTAGTTGTTACACCCTGTATTATGTCAGTTAAAAACAAAAAAAGAAAAAAAAATTGACTTTCACTAAAAGATAAGTGCTTACAAGGTACCTAAGATACTTAATACTGAGAGTTAGGATAACACCTGACTGCGTCTCTGGTAGTTTGAGTGGCATAATTCTAGTAGTCATCCGTTTATTCTTGTTTTTCTTTTTCTTTTTTTTTTCGACGAAAACGAAATATTTACTTTCCTTCTTTTCCATACCTCTGTATGTAATTAAGATGTCATAACATGTTTCAATTGTCTCATTTTCTTTGGCACCAAGATCTGAAAGTTGCCGATCAGTGTTTCCCAAGAGTAGCAACACATTGAGATAGAGTTTAGCAGTTATGATCCATGCCAAAAAAAAGAAAAAAAAAATGACTTTCACTAAAAGATAAGTGCTTACAAGGTACCTAAGATACTTAATACTGAGAGTTAGGATAACACCTGACTGCGTCTCTGGTAGTTTGAGTGGCATAATTCTAGTAGTCATCCGTTTATACTTGTTTTTCTTTTCTTTTTTTTTTCGACGAAAACGAAATATTTACTTTCCTTCTTTTCCATACTTCTGTATGTAATTAAGATGTCATAACATGTTTCAATTGTCTCATTTTCTTTGGCACCAAGATCTGAAAGTTGCCGATCAGTGTTTCCCAAGAGTAGCAACACATTGAGATAGAGTTTAGCAGTTATGATCCATGCCCATTTGTGTGTTGTCACCTCTGAAATTTTGTTTTTTTCCCGGCAAAATCGTTTTGCATAAAAATTTCAGTTCTTTTAGTTTACTATGTAAAGGAAATTCTATGAAACTTTATCTATATCCATTTCAAAATAGTGGATGGTTTAAGCTGAAATTGGTAGAACATGGGCATCTTAGTTGTTCACATGTGTTATAAAAACGCAGATTGTATTTTCAGAAATTTCCCTGCTGCTGTGGGTTTGTTTTTAGCAATAATTAGGATATGTGGTGCTAGGGTCGGTTGGGGTAATTCCGGATGTGCATCATGAAGGTAGTAATATTGAGGTTAGGGAATTTTTGCGTTGGTATGTGCATATGTCATATTGTGCAGAGCAAGTCTAGCTAGGGTGTCTACAAGTCGGGAATTTCCGGAAAGCCCGGAAATAGTACTGATTTTTAAGGGCGGTCCGGAAGTACTGAAAAAGTAAGGAAATTCCGCAAGAAGGTCCGGAATT